TTACTTTTCTCATTCAGGTTTCTAGAGCTCTGATCAATGTCAGTTAAGTACATTTAACGCCAGATGTTTCTATACCGTTGAAGTTATTCCCAACCATGCCTTAGTATTTGATGTGGTACATCTGTATGACGAACTTTCAGTGACACACCGTTGGTGATGATATGACAAGTGATGTCACTTCAGTTACACCTAACAGCAGACGTTTCTTCACTGTTGACTTTAATACCAATCAGGCCAGATGTCATGGCGACAGTGGTATAGTACATTAAGCACTTTCAGTGACAAACAGTTGGTGATGATATGACGGTTACGACATCTCAGTTAAACTATTGCTCTAGTTTTAGCTAAATATTACTAACTGTTCCCGCGTTAACAAAAATATGGATAGTGATGAGGGAAGAGTCCAGTCCAAGATGTAATGAATGAAGAGGAAAGTGACGGTGTTTATGTTTTCTGAAGAAAAATGGAAGGGGATGAGTGATGGTGGTGTCTGAAATGCTGAATGGACCAAATGCAGTCAACAGCTCTAAAGGAGTGGAGTCTGACCTAATGTTAGAAGGGAGCGTCGGGCTTGCAGCCTTCACCACAGTTACAACACACACATCCCCCAAAATAACTTCGTTCATCCACCCACCTTCACTTTAGTAGAACGCCCCTAGGTTGATACCCTCACAACTACTACAACTATAGAACCCTGCACCCCCATTCTACTTTAAATCAGAGATGAGGGCCCTCGCCTTTATTGTTTTTTGGTTTATAAAACAATCCATGTTGGGAGGCTGGGGCTAATGAACACAGATGTGCCTTGCAGCCAAGTGCAAAACTGCTGCTTCATAGCAATAGCCATGTTAGTTAGGCAACGGCATCACCGTGCCAATGATAGAGCCCTGTCTACTGTAGTGGAAGACGGGTGGGGAAATGTCCCTATAGAGTAGTATACAAACAAACTTATATCATCTCCATTGCTGGACAATTCAGTAGTTGCTCAATGTGTCTTTCAATAGGTTGTTATTGTACACTTGTTATAAGGCAACACTGAGATGCCTGTGTTTTGAGCCTGGTTAAATGGAACCATTTAATCTGTTTTGACCAAGGAACAGAGGCGACTATAGCTCCACACCGCCTCTTGAAAATCATATTTGACCACTGTGAAATCAAGCTGTGTAAAAAAAATATCTTCGATGATGAACGTCTTCATAAAAATATTAATTCTACACGTGCTTTTCTGGCAACTGTAAAAGGTATCCTTATAATTGGGGCCACAATATGATAAGACATCAGTCATATGGGAAGCGCACAAGGGAAAGAAAATGGGAATACATTATAAATAAGGGAATAGTTACATTGCCTTCTTTACTTGTAAAAGTAGACAGATACTCGCAGAGGTTATGAAGAACGCGAGTGAGGCAAGCATGCAAAGTAGCCTACATCGAAACTAAAGCCCGTTTAGAAAACATTTCAGCAGCGCCTTACCACGCGAGGTATAACAAAACCTTTTAATATTACTTTCTTGTCTTGACAACTTTACTCACCGTTTTACTCATAAAACAGGTCGCCACCGCGAAAATCAAGAGCATCCAAGTGTTCGTCATTATTCCTTTGGAAAGAACAAACCGTGGCGAGGGTGAAAAATAGATCTATTAGCTAGCGCTCATAGAAAAATAAAAATGATCTTCACAGTTGTAAACCCCACTCTCTCGCCCACAGATTATACTCTCCCAATCGAATTATTCCAAAACGAGAAAACCAAGATTCCCCACTCGATGTTTCTCTCCGAATAAAATAGTTTCTTTCCCGTTTTCCAAGTACTTTTCTACTGAAAGGGAGCAGCGGAAGAACGCGCTATTGCTCAGGAACCATTACACGTACTGATGCGCCCAGCTTGGAACGGAACATTCATTGACAAACTCGCGCAGGGGTGGAAACAAGGTAGTTAGGAAAGTGTCTTCTACAATTGATTGACAGATACTTGGACCATAAAGAAGCAGCCTTCACTTGAGGGTGCAGTGATACTTTTAATTGGCAATTTGACATAACCACAAGTGAATGAGTTATGATAGGCTAGTAGAGTATGCCTACACCGGTTATGAACCATCCGGATATGATAGACCCATCTCACTTCTGACACCAATGCAGCATTCAGGGGTAGTATGACACCTCACAATACATTGAAAGGTCTAACCCAGGGCTCTCCAACCCTGTTTCTGGAGAGCTATCGTCCTGTAGGTTTTCGCCCCAACCCTAATCTAGCACACCTGATTTTAATAATTAACTGGTTGATAAACTGAATCAGGTTAGTAACAACTGGGGTTGAAATTAAAATGTACAGGATGTTAGCTCTCCAGGAGCAGGGTTGGAGAGGAGCCCTGGTTAAACCTATTGTTTTTACATCAGTGAAGATGAAGAGATGGCGCCACTCAACTGTTTAGAACAGGGGTGTCAAAACTCATTCCATGGAGTGCCTAGTGTCTGCTGGTTTTTGGTTTTTCCTTTCAATTAAGTCCTAGACAGGTGAGGGGAGTTCTTTACTATTAGTGACCTTCATCAATCAAGTACAAGGGAGTGTGAAAAATGTATGCACTCACTAACTGTAAATCGCTCTGGATAAGAGCGTCTGCTAAATGACTAAAATGTCAATGTAAAACCCGCAGACACTCGGCCCTCCATGGAATGAGTTTGACACGTGGTTTAGATGCACTGTTGTCTATACTTAGATATAAACTTTACTTAAATAAAACATCAATATATGAATACAAATATAATAATATGACGGGATCATACAACAAAATAAAGCGTATCATGCAAATAATAATACTTTGATTATACCTTGCTCACGGTGTGGCAAATTAGATCTAATATTTTGTCAGGTTAGTTCAGTTTTGCTTCCCCCTGTTGGGGAAAGTTGGTTCGTACATACACTAAAGTTATGTGCCTGAATGACAATGTCATTATCAATGTCCATGTCATTTAGATTTTATTAAATAACACATAACAGCTCAAAGGCATTTTTATGATGCATCAAAAAGGTTGATGTTTTCTGAAAACACACAAATGACCGCTGTCGTAACATTATCTGTTTAGATCAGGGTTACCCAAACTCGGTCCTGGGGCCCCCACCGGGTGCACGTTTTGGTTTTTGCCCTAGCACTACACAGCTGATTCAAATAATCAAAGCTTGATGATGAGTTGGTTATTTGAATCAGCTGTGTGTAGAGCTAACGCAAAAACCAAAACGTGGACCCAGGTTTGGTTTAGACCAACAAATAAAGGTCCAATCATGTACTATGGAAGGTCAATTGTATAATGTATGCAAAGCTGTAATGAGGAGTAGTAAAGCAGAGAATGAAGGAATCTGCATGATTAGGGCTCTTTCTGGATTCATCTTTCCTCTCATCCTCTCTCCTCGAATTCTCAAAACACATTGGAGAAGGTCTGAGTGGAGGGATCTTGGACCTTCTCCTTCAATACGGTTGAGAAGGAAGCGAGGCGAGAGGATGTGAGGAATTTCAGAAAGACAATTTAAGATACAACCTAGCTAATACTTTCAGCAGGTAATCTGACTGGAGATGTTCTTTTTTTTCTTCTGATGAGTGATGTTGGGCTGATGTTGTTGAGTAAAAGTAGTCACCCCCACCAACTGACATTATGGTTCATGTCAATTCTGTGGACATTACAATATTAAGTGCTGTAGTTGATGAGTATACAATAATAAGATAAAAATTTATCGACTTGCACACATTATAAACATTAATAAAGCCACTAGTGTAGACCCAACAATGCCTGCCAATATCCCACATTACACTATATTTCCAGAATTTATTAAATATTTCACATATGGACACATTGGCTATTTTACCCTCCATTCGACTCTTAATGATAAAGGGGTACGGTATCACATTGAGACATCATTCTAAGAGATGTTCCTTCTTTATGCATGAGTAGGCCTATTGAAAGACAGTTATGACAAACAGCATGGCAGTGATCATTTTGTGAATGATACAACTAATAAATACATACTACATTACTGTATGTGACTGGCACATACAAACCGGAGTTACAATATATGACCAAAGGTATGTGGACACCTGCTCGTCGAACATCTCATTCCAAAATCATGGGCATTAATATGGAGTTGGTCCGCCCTTTGCTGCTATAACAGCCTCCACTCCTCTGGCGACGAGTTTACACCACTCCAGGCTCGGCCATGGAAACCCATTTCATGAAGCTACCGAACAGTTCTTGTGCTGACGTTGCTTCCAGAGGCAGTTTGGAACTCGGTAGTGAGTTTTGCAATTTTTACGTGCTTCAGCACTCAGTGGTCCAGTTATGTGAGTTTGTGTAGCCTAGCACTTCGTGGTTGAGACGTTGTTGTGGTTGAGCCAGTTGACCGGGGATGCTCCAGCAGGGCAGACATTTCACGAACTGACTTGTTGGGAAGTTGGCATCCTATGACGGTGCCACGTTAAAAGTCACTGAGCTCTTCAGTAAGGCCATTCTACTTCCAATGTTTGTCTGTGGAGATTGCATGGGTGTGTGCTCGATGTTATACACTTGTCAGCAACGGGTGTGGCTGAAGTAGCCGAATCTACTAATTTGAAGAGCTGTCCACATACTTTTGTATATATGGTGTATCTTGGGTTTTAGTTATTTAAAAGTTTGAGATTGTTCAGTACTCAATACCTTTATTTATTAGCTGTATAGTCAGGGAAAACCTTTTGTGAACAGTAGTATTGTGGGGGAGTGGGACCATGTTTTTGGACAGTAAAAATTGGTGCAGTATTCTTGAATACAGCTGGAGGTATACTGTGTGCTAGCTAATAATATATCCATGATAATAAATACATGAACACTGCTTACAACAGTTTTAAAAACAATGGCAAAAATTGATATTGAGATTATGAAGGGGGGGAAAAAGCACTCCTCTGCAATTACTTCTTAATGAGAGGGAACAGTCAAACAGTTCAGATTCCTCAGCAGAGAGGTGGTGCAACAAGGAACTATCATCTTAGTCCACTCTTCACCTCTGCTCCTTTTGAGTTTATTTGGTTTCTCTTCCAAACTGTTGGGATCTAGGGAGGAGAAAGAGGGTTTTTATAACAACACAAGTCATGGAAATCATCAGAACAATCTCAAGACAAAACACTGAGCTAAGCATGATCAAGAAGTCAGCCACATATGCAGTACCCAGGGACTGGTATTGACAATTAGTGAGCTATACACGTTACACACTAGTATGCATCAGATACTCATTCCTATCCAAATAAATCATGAAATGAACAATTCAATTACCTGTGGTGGGACGGTAGGCTCCAGGTGTCGACCAAGGAACGAGAGCAGTCTCCTCCAGATTAGTCCACTACCCAGGAACATGAAGCCTGTCACCAGCCAGAACACCTTGGGGTCCTGGGGGAACAAACACGACACCATAGATATAACACTAGATAGAACAGAGATTTATATCTCTATGGACCACACACTGAGCCAGTCATCCTTCACCTCAGGTTAATCTGCCATTCAGCAATATTACATTGCTGCCAGGTTAACAAACTCAATGTTAAATTGTCTCGTGTAATTTAAAAGATTAAAGCTTTATCATCAACGCATATCATTGACCTCCTCAAACGTGGATTCCAAGTTCATCCCGAAGGCGACGCCCATCAGGCCAAATAGGGAGAGTGAGAAGGTCCCCATGGTGAGCTGCAGGTTCAGACGCATCATCACGTTCCGGTGACTGGGTGTGCCATGGCCCATGGGGACAGAGGGAAATGTATGGTGACAAACCAGGCCTGACTAACAGAGCTGTTCAAGCCAATTAACAGGAGAAAAGGAAAACACCATGTTCAGCAGTTGGAAAAATAGGCTAGTTCCCCTGATAGCATTAAATGCAGCTAAGAACAGCAAATGACATCAGGACAAATTAAGTCTACCAAAAGCCAGTTAAATCAGCAATACAGATCATTCTGCCAGCATATTTTGTATGGGCGCAGCATGATGATTACACTATATCAGAGATGCTTAACTGGCGGCCCCCCTTTTGTAGGCCTGCGGCTCAATTTTGGGGGGGGACTCAGTCGGAGTCTCAACTTACTGTTGAGAGTTACAATATTAGAATACACAAGGTGCAAATTCGATATTTGGTAGTGCAATCAGCAGTTTCTCTTGTTATGTCAGTCACTGACAGTCACTCAATTAGCCCATATCAGCTAACATTTTTTAGATTGGTAAGTTAGTCTAGCGGCCAGCTATCTACACAAAATTCCACTTAGGGCCCCCAAAAGAGTAGGGCCGGCTCTGACTGCATGTGTGTGTATGTAGAATTGCAGGAAATTTGCTGTAAAACTGCAATATTTTCTCTATGCTGGATGGCAAAATGTGTAAAATTGCAGGAAATTAACTCTAAAACATATTTTTCCCCCTCTGCTGTCAAGAGGGGGGCCGCTAAAATGTTTTGCTCGCAAGGAGGGAGGGCCCCCAAAAGACTAGGCCCGGCTCTGACTGCATGTGTGGGTATGGAGGTGGGTACGCAGACCCGCGAGTCACTGCAACCCCTCATGATGAATTCAGATTTTTTTGTGGCCCCCACCCCCATCAAAGTTGCCCATTCCCTGCACTATACATAATCTGCGTCCCAAATACCACTCTATTCCAAGGGTTCGCACATAAAAAATGTAATAAATATTACTTACAACAACAGGTTAAACACATTTTGGCCAAGGAATCCGTGAAATACACAACCGGTTAAAAGTTTTAGAACACCTACTCATTCAAAGGTTTTTCTTTATTTTTACTATTTTCCACATTGTAGAATAATAGTGAAGACATCAAAACTATGAAATAACACATATGGAATCATGTTGTAACCAAAAAAAAGTGTTCAACAAATCTAATTATATTTGAAATTCTTCAAATAGCCACCCTTTGCCTTGATGACTGCTTTGCACACTCTTGGCATTCTCTCAACCAGCTTCACCTGGAACGCTTTTCCAACTGTCTTGAAGGAGTTCCCACATACAGTGAAGGAAAAAAGTATTTGATCCCCTGCTGATTTTGTACGTTTGCCCACTGACAAAGAAATGATCAGTCTATAATTTTAATGGTAGATTTATTTGAACAGTGAGACAGAATAACAACAAAAAAATCCAGAAAAACACATGTCAAAAATGTTATAAATTGATTTGCATTTTAATGAGGGAAATAAGTATTTGACCCCCTCTCAATCAGAAAGATTTCTGGCTCCCAGGTGTCTTTTATACAGGTAACGAGCTGAGATTAGGAACACACTCTTAAAGGGAGTGCTCCTAATCTCAGTTTGTTACCTGTATAAAAGACACCTGTCCACAGAAGCAATCAATCAGATTCCAAACTCTCCACCATGCCCAAGACCAAAGAGCTCTCCAGGGATGTCAGGGACAAGATTGTAGACCTACACAAGGCTGGAATGGGCTACAAGACCATCGCCAAGCAGCTTGGTGAGAAGGTGACAACAGTTGGTGCGATTATTCGCAAATGGAAAAACACAAAAGATCTGTCAATCTCCCTCGGCCTGGGGCTCCATGCAAGATCTCACCTCGTGGAGTTGCAATGATCATGAGAACGGTGAGGAATCAGCCCATAACTACACAGGAGGATCTTGTCAATGATCTCAAGGCAGCTGGGACCATAGTCACCAAGAAAACAATTGGTAACACACTACGCCGTGAAGGACTGAAATCCTGCAGCGCCCGCAAGGTCCCCCTGCTCAAGAAGGCACATATACAGGCCCGTCTGAAGTTTGCCAATGAACATCTGAATGATTCAGAGGAGAACTGGGTGGAAGTGTTGTGGTCAGATGAGACAAAAATCGAGCTCTTTGGCATCAACTCAACTCGCCGTGTTTGGAGGAGGAGGAATGCTGCCTTTGAACCCAAGAACACCATCCCCACCGTCAAACATGGAGGTGGAAACATTATGCTTTGGGGGTGTTTTTCTGCTAAGGGGACAGGACAACTTCACCGCATCAAAGGGACGATGGACGGGGCCATGTACCGTCAAATCTTGGGTGAGAACCTCCTTCCCTCAGCCAGGGCATTGAAAATGGGTCGTGGATGGGTATTCCAGCATGACAATGACCCAAAACACACGGCCAAGTCAACAAAGGAGTGGCTCAAGATGAACCACATTAAGGTCCTGGAGTGGCCTAGCCAGTCTCCAGACCTTAATCCCATAGAAAATCTGTGGAGGTAGCTGAAGGTTCGAGTTGTCAAACGTCAGCCTCGAAACCTTAATGACTTGGAGAAAATCTGCAAAGAGGAGTGGGACAAAATCCCTCCTGAGATGTGTGCAAACCTGGTGGCCAACTACAAGAAACGTCTGACCTCTGTGATTGCCAACAAGGGTTTTGCCACCAAGTACTAAGTCATGTTTTGCAGAGGGGTCAAATACTTATTTCCCTCATTAAAATGCAAATCAATTTATAACATTTTTGACATGCGTTTTTCTGGATTTTTGTTGTTGTTATTCTGTCTCTCACTGTTCAAATAAATCTACCATTAAAATTATAGACTGATCATGTCTTTGTCAGTGGGCAAACGTACAAAATCAGCAGGGGATCAAATACTTTTTTCCCTCACTGTATGCTGAGCACTTGTTGGCTGCTTTTCCTTCACTCTGCGGTCCGACTCATCCCAAACCATCTCATTTTGGTTGAGGTCGGGGGATTGTGGAGGCCAGGTCATCTGATGCAGCACTCCATCACTCTCCTTCTTGGTAAAATAGCACTTCGACAGCCTGGAGGTGTGTTGGGTCATTGTCCTGTTGAAAAACAAATCATAGTCCCACTAAGCCCAAACCAGATGGGATGGTGTATCGCTACAGAATGCTGTGGTAGCCATGCTGGTTAAGTGTGCCTTGAATTCTAAATAAATCACAGACAGTGTCACCAGCAAAGCACCCCCACACCATAACACCTCCTCCTCCATGCTTTACAGTGGGAAATACACATGCAGAGATGATCCGTTCACCCACACCACGTCTCACAAAGACACGGCGATTGGAACCAAAAATCGCCAATTTGGACTCCAGACCAAAGGACACATTTCCACCGGTCTAATGTCCATTGCTCATGTTTCTTGGCCCAAGCAAGTCTCTTTTTTATTATTGGTGTCCTTTAGTAGTGGTTTCTTTGCAGCAATTCGACCATGAAGGCCTGATTCACACAGTCCCCTCTGAACAGTTGATGTTGAGATGTGTCTGTTACTTGAACTCTGTGAAGCATTTATTTGGGCTGCAATTTCTGAGGCTGGTAACTAATGAATTTATCCTCTACAGCAGAGGTAACTCTGGGTCTTCCATTCCTGTGGCGGTCCTCATGAGAGCCAGTTTCATCATAGCGCTTTTTTTTGCGACTGCACCTGAAGAAACGTTAAAAGTTATTGACATTTTGACTGACCTTCATGTCTTAAAGTAATGATGGACTGTCGTTTCTCTTTGCTTATTTGAGCTGTTCTTGCCATAATATGGACTTGGTCTTTTACCAAATAGGGCTATCTTCTGTATACCCCCCTACCTTGTCACAACACAACTGATTGGCTCAAACGCATTAAGAAGGAAAGAAATCCCACAAATTAACTTTTAAGAAGGCACACCTGTTAATTCCAGGTGACTACCTCATGAAGCTGGTTGAGAGAATGCCAGAGTGTGCAAAGCTGTCATCAAAGCAAAGGGTGGCTATTTGAAGAATCTCAAATATAAAATATATTTTGATTTGTTTAACACTTTTTTGGTTACTACATGATTCCATGTGTTATTTCATAGTTTTGACGTCTTCACTATTATTCTACAATGTAGAAAATTGTAAAAATAAAGAGTAGGTGTTCTAAAACTTTTGACCGATATTGTAAGTTTAGTGTGTAATACAAGAAAATGTAATATTATTAATCTACAATTTTTGTTCTTAACCCTGAGCAACATGGGCCTGGGAGGCTCACAAGGATATTGGTGTCCACAGTACTCCACCAATTATACATTTGGAGCTCAATACGTCTTGTTTTCCCCAAATGCACTAATTTAAGCTTTAAAACGTCAACGTTTTCTCTCTGCCTCGTGGAAAAACATATACAATTGCAGGACATTAGTGTTAAAGCTGCAACAACAAAAAATATCTCTGCCCTGTGACAAAATGTGCAGAATTACAGGAAATTAGCTTGAAAACGGCTAAATGTTCTTTCCGATGCCTATAGACGGGCCTTTAAAATGTTCCTTCCCAGGGCCTGAGACGTGGTTCGTCCGGCCATGCGCTGCCGAAGTCAAAGTAAAACTCCTTGTATGCTATTTTTATCTCACTCTAGTTGTTTTCTGATTATGAGGGGTCCCTGATGAATTTGCTATCACAAAAGGGGTCCTCGGCCCTATTCCCTACATAATGGACTACTTTTGAGACATATGGGTCCTGGTCAAAAGTACTGCACTATATAGGGAATAGGGTGCGATTTGGGATGCAGACCGGGTTTAGTCATCAATACCTGTCCAGGTTGATGAAGATAACACTCTCAGAGTCGTCTATCAGGCCCTTGAGCTCCCTGGTCGTGTTGCCCAGCTCCTCAGCCTGCATGAAGTAGTTCTCCAGGAGAAGCTCCATCTCCTCAGCATGATCAATGCCCAGACTGCTCTCCTCACTGCCTCCAGAGACACACACAACAACAAGAGAGACCAATAAAGACTTCATCCAACAACTCTTAAGAAAAAAAAGAAGACTTTATTAATCCATACAAGAGAGAAATGTGTCTTCTGCTGTACCAACCCCTCACATACACACATTAGGTTGTAGAGGCTGGACCAGAGGCCAGCCACAGTGCAGCGCCCAATGAGCAGTTCAGAGGGTTTAGCTAAAGGTTGGCCCCTGACAGCAACCCTCCCGTTGTCAGCTCACTCCCGGCATAATGAAAAACGTGTACAATGAACACAAATAATCTCATTAAGTACCATGTGTCTACAAAATATGCATGTTGCCATTTCACCTACAACACACGTGGATCCGTCCACTTGGTGACACAAAGCTCCTCGATCATCTCCTCTTCGTCTAGGATCTTCAACAGACTGTCCTTGAAGACCTTGATGTCTGTCTCCAGCTCTGACAGGCTGGGCAGAAAACACAGGTAGGGTTGAACAATTCTGGTAACTTTCCCCAAAATTCCCAGAAATCCTGGTTGGAAGACTCCCAAATCGGGATGGAGAAAGTTCATGAGATTGACTACACAGAGCCAAACCAGCCACGCCTTCTAGTACAGGATGTCTAGATCCATACAACAGCCCTGGCCCAATTATGACCATAGGTGTCAATCTTTTCTACACCTACAATACATTTTAGTCATTTAGCAGATGCTCTTATCCAGAGCAACTTACAGGAGCAATTAGGGTTAAGTGCCTTGCTCAATGGAACTCAATGGATTTTTCACCTAGTCGGCTCGGGGATTCGAACCAGCGACCTTTCAGTTACTGGCCCAACGCCCGTAACATAGGATCTGCCTTGATAAGATAAATCAAACGTTACACGCAAAAACGGGAATGCTGGTTATCATGATGTGACTGTCAGTGCTTTTCCACTCACTTCTTGCGGTTCTGAAGAAGTATATGCAGTTTGCTGCGATCTGCAGAGAGTAGTTTAGGATCCACAAGAGACTCTAGAATGTCCAGGATGACAGGGTGAACCTCATTCAGCCGAGCCTGAAGGATGTTTACCTTTACAGAAACAAAGACATATACATGCATAAACAAATACCAGTTGGACATGCCATCACATATTACATCATATACCCCAATCCATTTAGAATTGCCGGTTAACACTTTTTTTGGATAGTCCCAAGTAGATGGTTTGTAGATGTTCAATAACTGTCAACAACATATCAACTAACTATTTTACATTTAAGTCATTTAGCAGACGCTCTTATCCAGAGCGACTTACAAATTGGTGCATTCAACTTAGGGTAGCCAGTGGGACAACCACAACCACCACTGGGTTCACCTCTCCACATGACAGACTTGAAAGGTGTCCAGAGGTTTACAGGGGTAAAAACAGGTCTTGAGTGTGAACCACTGGATAAAGGACTGAAACAGCTCCCAAAAAGGTCTAAACTAGTGAAAAATGGTTCAGCCACTGTCTCCTGAAAATGGGGATTAATTACAGAGCACTATGTCATATTTAAATTTGTCCCAAAACCAAAAGAAAGCACGAATACCCTTGTTACAAGGGAAATACATTATTTAGTTCTTTACACAAAATCTGCAATGGCCAAATGTCCTGCAATGGCTAAAGCAATGTATAAAGATCAACAGTTTTGATCCAGCATCATGAGAATACATTTTCACTATGGATGCTGACTGAAAACTACCAGAGAAGTTAACTATACACTATGAAAGGAACTGGTAATTCGCTAGCAAGGTACATAGCAACACCTACTGGAGATGCGCCACACAGGTGGACAGAATTGACTGTTGTCAGTTTTGTTTTTCAATAGAGAATTCAGGTTTTAAAAAGTCTTCAGCAATCATGAGGTCAACACATTACTACTCACTTTCATAGCGCTTTCCCCCCCTTGATGAGAGGGCGATGATAATGCATAACAATGGAAATCTCAGTAGTCCATTCTAGCACTTGAACAAGGCATTAGAACAAAGTGCTCCAAGAGGAACAGTAGTATCACGAGGAGAAGGAACAGGTAGAGACAGAGGATACTGGAATAACAAAACGTCCCAATACCCTTTTCTCTTCATCCACCAAGTTTCAATGAACACTATCAATAATGACTGAAACCTTTGATTAACCCTCTCCCTCCATTAGTTAGTTCATTCACCACCGGCTCTTCTGTTTACATCTCGTCCGAGCGGTGTTGCTGTATAATGATGGATGTTGGCTTCCTGTCGATCCAGTTCTCCTTGGTCCCTGGAACCTCATAGGCCACAGGCGTTCCCACTGGATCCCTCCTGCAGGCCCCCAGCCCCGGGTTCGGCCCCCTGGCTTCAGCTTGGCCTGTCCAGGATTGGGGAAGTCTGCAGACGAGTTGCTGTTGAACTCACTCTCAGAATCAGACTGCTCCACCTTCTGGTAGTCTGGTGTGTGGTTCTGGCCGCCAGTGAACACGGCCATGGTGTTCTCTACCTTGGCCACTAGGAGGAAACTGAGAGGGGGAGGCTCAGCGTCATCCACTTCCTCCCCAGGCTCAGAGTAAGCCAGGGGTAGAGGGTCTGGGGTGTCATCAACAGCAACAGAGCGCAGGGTCCTGGAGACAACAGAGGAGGGGGTGTATATCTCCTTCTGTCCAGGGCTGCGGCCAAATGGGTTGACAGAGGGGAAGATGATCAGGCAGAAAGACGGCAGGAACACCATGACACAGGTGCTGGTGGTGGTTGTCTTCATGGTAGACATCTTCATCATGGACTGTAGTTTCCTCAGCTGCTCTATCAGAGACATGTTTTGTTTCTGCAGCAGTTGGACCTTCTTCTGCAGATCCTGGTTGTGAGCAGTGCAGATGGAAACCCTGTTCTCCAGGCCGTCCACGTACACCTTATTCTTCTTCCTACTCTCCTGGGCTGACTGCTTGTTTCGGATCTTCCTCCTCACCCTCTTCAGTGTCCTCTCCTCAGTCTTAGTAAGAGGCATGCAAGACGGTATGGTTGCTCCTTCTTTAGCAAGAAGTCTCTTTTCCTCATCAGTCAGGACGATCTCCTTGAACTGGAACAGATCCGCTTTGTTGTCCTGTGTAGAGTCCTCTATGGAGAGAGTGCAGGGTAGTTCTTCACTGGAATAATCCTGTTCCATTTCCATCCCCTCACTGTCCAGGTCATCCAGATCAATAAAGACATCCATGTCAGGCTTCTGTGCCCTCATGCTCTGGAGAGCATCCATGTCCTCTCCCTGGAACAGAGAGTAGCTGTGGTCTGTCTGCACGTTCAGGGCCTCAGTGTTCTCAGCCTGGAGCAATCAAGGGATTGTTGGAGTACCCTGGGCTGGGCGCAGGGTCACTGTCACTCCCCTGGGAGCTGGGGCAGGCCAGGAAGTTCTGGCCGACCATGCCGCCAGTGCTGCTGTCGTCAGAGATGTCGCTATCGTTGCCCAGTGGAGAGTGGGAGAGACAGGAGGTGGCCATGTTGTTTTCTCCCTCAAGCAAGCTGGACAGGAAGTCCTCCGTCTATCCACTAACCCTTATCCTGAGGTACTGACCTGTTGCACCCTGTACAACCACTGATCATTATTTGACTCTGCTGTTAATCTATGAACGTTTGAACATCTTGAAGAACAATCTGGCCTTAATGGCCATGTACTCTTATAATCTCCACCCGTCACAGCCAGAAGAGGACTGGACACCCCTCAGAGCCTGGTTCCTCTCTAGGTTTCTTCCTAGGTTCCTGCCTTTCTAGGGAGTTTTTCCTAGCCACCGTGCCTCTACATCTGCATTGCTTGCTGTTTGGGGTTTTAGGCTAGGTCTCTGTACATGTACTTTGTGGCATCTGCTGATGTAAAAAGGGCTTTATAAATAAATGTGATTGATCCGAACGCTAAACTCAACCCTTACCCTGACCCTAGCAAGCAGTTGCTTATCAACAGATAGTTTGTTGATAGTATAACCATGTGTAGATCATCTACATGGAACAATCCAAATAAAGTGTGAACAATTGTTGTGATAAATGAATAGTAAATGAGTGATTGAGTAGCGTGTGTCTTACCCTATGCTGCAGAATAGCTTCAAGGGCTCTGAACTCAAATGGCAGTGAATGAGTGGCCATAGCTCCATGATCCCCGTTCAACTGTGGAGCCAACTCCAGGACCAGCCATCTCTCCAATGCCAGACCTCGGAAATCCAACACCAACAGGCTATTGGGGGTCACTACTGCCTTCAAGGCCTGAAGACACAAGAACAGATAGACTCGGTTCAGGTGCAAAAACAAGTTAAGGTCGGTCACCTGTCTTTTCTAGTGTGCAATTTTTTACTTAATTTTTTCATTCTCTAAAAGTTAGAGGATAATTTGAGGCTAGCTGTCACGAAAGGTGACAAACGCAACAGTTTGGCTAACAGTACCTTCAGCATAACGATGTAACACGAAACAAAAACAGTACGTAGCTACCTCCATGCGAATGATGATGTTGTTGTTCCTAGCGTTGATGCTGGTGAGGTGTTGGAACCTGAGGTCTCTGGCCTGCAGACTCAGCTCTTGATACAGCTCCAGCTTTTTCTTCTCTGAGATAGGAATCAGATCAGGGGTCAGAGGTCAGACTCAAAACGTATAGGAAGGACAAATAACTTGTCAGTAACAAAGTACAATAAACAATTGCATTTGATGTAGTGCTTGTGAGAACAGAAAACTAAAGAAAAACAAATAATGGGCAAACTAATGAGGCCAATAGATGTTCCATTACTTACCAAACGAGGTTACATTCCCATCTTTGTCAAATTTCATCTATGACAAAAAAGCACAGTTGTAGCTACAGCCAGTATCTTGCTGTATAGCTTCTAGGTACATTCCACACGCTCCCTCAGGTGAACAATATAGACAGTCACAATTGAAATGACACATTGGTTTACTTTTCTTGCATTTTGCAGAAGCAACCTTTTTGTAGAATGTTGGCATTGTCAATGTTGATAAACATTTGAACAAAAGTGATCATATCCCATATACTGCCGACAGACAAAACATTTTGGAGAGAATAACAATTTCAAATTGGATATGATTGACACAACCAAAACTTCCCACTTACCACAACAAAAGCAGGAGCCACACTGGAGAGGGACGCCTCAGTTACTCTATGGCGAATGAAATATGCTGCCAATTAAACAAAATAATAATCCATTAGCCAACAACAACATGTGTGTTGCAGCTAGGTCTAGCCACCTAGGGCTCCTTCAATCACAGACCATAACAGTAAAAATATAACAGTACCTACCAGACGGACATGATTGCAACAGTGTTGCTTTCCCTCTAGTCACCGGCAGATGCTTGGAGAGTTGGCACTTTAAAGGTGATCTGGAACAACTCACTGTTCTGCAGGTCAAACAGCAGGTGAGGACCCTGAATTTAATTTCCAGAGATCTCCGAAGACCACCCATCGCGAACGACTTGAAACAAGCTTCCATTGCTTTGTTCACCACCACAACATTTTAGCAAAGTGTCCTTAGTTATTTAGCTACTTAGCTAGTCCAGCCAGCTGATCAGTTGCATCCGGAACTGAATAACTAACATAGGCTAGGTAACGTTAGTTAGTGAATTGATCACCTGGCTACGTAGTACTGGACAAAGCCAGTGGTTTGTTCTGCAAAATCATGCAACCGTTGCGAGCACATTTATTTAACTAACGTTACCTAGTTAGCACGCAAACAAGGCGCTAGCTAGCAAGTTAGCTAACTGCTAACAAACTTTTATGCTGCTAACAGGAGACTAGTTCGTGCTTCTAGAACGAACTTCTCAACCTGCCGTACAGTCGCAAAAAGAGCCAGGTGTGAGTAAAATAGCAAATAATAGTAGGCTTACAGCTGGTATAGCTGAATCCAAGAAACGTTATTCCTCCTTCAGACAGGGGTATCTAGCTCTGTGCAACTACAACCAGCAGGCATCGCGGTGTTTTGGCGTTACAGTAACACGTGCATGACCCTGAACTAGAGGTTGAATCCATTTCAACCAATGAAGTTCTTCAAAGAAAGAAAATCCTACTTGAGATTTCCGTTAATGTTCACAGTCAAAGAAACAAAACATTTTCCAATTTATCCACGAAATTTCATTTCCCTATGATGAAGAGATAAATTAAATTGAGGGGCTGTGTTTTCACATTGTATTTCACATGACGTAGAACGAGGAGGCGTTATCATGGCGTCTTCAGCGTCAAGACCACTGAACAATCTGCGTCTTCCAGAGCTGCCTGGCTACAGTTCTGGGTTGCTGGAAGGTGCATTTGCGGCATGATGCGCCTGATTTGAGAAATTGTATATTTTCTGATGATATCATTGACCATTGGTGACGCACTTTTATGGAACTATACCGTTCGCTTTAGCTGTCAATGTCCACTATTCGTTTTTGTCGTTTTTTAATTATTTTTACATTTCATACCAGTATGTTCCCTTCGTGCTATTCAAAGCCGACGAGTTCAAAGGACCAATTCAAAAGGACTTCTCTGACAAAGATATTACTAGGAGTGTTCGTCGTGTATATGTCACACACCTGCTGGGTGATCTATGGCTTCGTATACACCAAGCCTTGTGAGAGAGGTAAAGGAGACTGCATTTCTTCCTACCTTGCAGAAAGACCCCGTCTCCAGGTAATTAGTGGCCTTGGTCTTACACATACTGCAGTGAAACCCTAGATGTAGGGTAGGTTTTTAGTACAATTAATCATCTTTAGCTATTGTATTTGGTCAGAGAATTCATGCATCACAATTTGATTAGTGACCATGGTGCACAAGAAGTGTCTTTCATGGCCCATAAAGATCAATTGAATTGAATCTATGAGAAGTCTCATTTATTTTAACAGCTCAGCATTTTCTCCAGTTTGAGGCCTGACGACAGTGAACTCAACCTCATCATCCAGATAGATGACTTTGACATACATTCTAATTTTGAAAGGTAGGCCGAAGTCCCATTTAAATCTGCAGTCATGTGGCATAGAAATAGCATGTCACTTTTAGTCACGTTCCCTATAAAGATAAGGTTATGATTGTAGCCCAAATGGCACCCTTTTCCCTATGGTCCCTGGTCAAAAGTAGTGCACTATATAGACAATATGGTGTCATTTGGGACAGAAGCCGATATCTCTCACCTGTCACCATTGCTTTTCTTGATTCAAGGGTGGTGAATGTATCCCTGCCACTGGCAACACGTAACAACGGGACTCTGCACACATTGGTTTATGTACACAAGTTTGGAGTGTCTCCCTTGCAGGATAACCGGCAGGTCCATCATGTTGCCCAGCTCAGCACCTACATGCTGTCCAAAGGAAATCTCAGCTCTGCTAAAAAGGTCCTCAAAGTAAGACAACAAAACAATTCCTCTGTCTATGTTTCAGTCTGGACTGGGAAAATATCAGCTTTAACTGCTCTGTTTGGTTGACCCATTTGATTCTCTTTCATGGCTTGTCCTGTTCTTGCGTTTCTCAGAAACATGCTGTCACTGCTCCTCGAGTTGTAGACAGACCCATCTCTCACTGGAGGTCCCGTCTAACCCTAAACATGATGTCAGAGGACTTCACCTTCAACAGAGGGACCTTGCCAAGTGATGTCCGGCGCTACATGAGAGTGTAAGTCTCTCATATAAAATGTTTGTATTGTGTGAGTGTGGTGACGTCCGGCACTACATGAGAGTGTAAGTCTCTCATATAAAATGTTTGTATTGTGTGAGTGTGTTTATTTGGGGAGTGGGTGTGCACTATTAGACCTAAACTTATAGCACAGCATCACTCACATTATGCAGAGCTAGCTACAGAGATGGTGAGAAATATTGATGTTTTGTATCTCAGATATTTTGTCTCGTGTTTTAGATTTCAGGATGAGAACAGGATGGTATATCTCCCATTTTTACACATTGATGAACTCAGCGTCAGGGTAAAGGATATGATGGTGAGATGTTACTCTTCTTGTAAAATATATTACAGTTATAAATACTAATTTCAAGAACATTAAAACATACCTCAAAAAGAGGACTTGGAGGATACTTGTTTTTACAATGTGTGTTTGTAGGAGATTAACGGCTCCACAACCAAACTACCTCTTACAATATCCTACGAAGGCCTATCGCTGAGGCAATTCCGTTTCTGGATCCACATGCAGGATGTAATGTTTTCACTGAAACATTTTGGTTAGTTTATTACTTTAGTCCTGAACTTTAACCCTCCTTTTAAACTACTGAGATACTGTACGTTTGTCAACTTCTTGTAAAATAACTTTTTTGCTTCATTTATTACAGGGTTCACTGAGGTGAATATAGATGAAATCAAAGGTGTTCTTGTGGACAACAACTTGTACCTGTTAGCATTGACTACCCTGGTGACTGCATTCCATGTAAGTGATTTTCTATTAGAATACATTAATTCTATCACAAAGATCATGTCATCCATCTACACTTTTCATTTATGTGTCTAATTTTTCAGTTCATATTTGAATTCCTGGCCTTTAAAAATGACATAAGCTTTTGGAGGAAGAAGAAAAACATGGTGGGCATGTCTCGAAAAGCAGGTAAGAGTGAGGGAGGGGTAAAATACATCTTTATAATAATGCATTTCATGTTCTTATTTATGCATCTAAGTTTTCATGCCAATTTCCTAACTGAGTTAGGGAAGATGAGGTGTAAGGCTTGATATGCGTTCCAAATGGCACCCTATTCCCTTTATAGTGCACTGCATAGGAAATAGGGTACCATTTGGGACAGATCTTTGGTCTTTGTGGGGATTTGGGTATCATTACCATACAGATAGTTATCCAAGCAGGGCCTCTGGATAATCCCACCATCCGCCCACGAACACTAATCTACTGATCTACTCCCATCTACCTCAGAACTAACCCAGCTCTATCTGTTTCTCTATGCTGTTCTGTTCCAGTGCTGTGGAGATGCTTTAGCACCATAGTGATTTTCCTGAAAATGCTGGAGGAACGAAGCAGCTTGCTAGTTCTAATTCCTGTTGGAATAGGAATCATAATTGAGGTATCTGCCACGAATCAGCAGTTTGGAAAGGATTTAGAATATCAATAAAAATAATCAATGCTTTTTGGTGCTTTTTGCCAACCATAGCCGGGGATGGCAGAAGGTTCAGTGTTGCCTGCCTGCTGTTCTTAATGTATAGTAGTAGTTTATATTGTACATGGCAGAACTTTATAAGACAACCCACTGGTTAGTGAGGTTTGAGACATGAATGTCTTACCAGAGCTCATGAATTCCTTCTTCTCCCCCTATAGGTATGGAAGGTCAAAAAGGTTTCTAAAATACAGCTACAGTGGAGAACCTCTAGGTCTATAGTTCATGTAAGTATTTAAAAATGTATATAAATGGTTTATTCATAATGGTTTATTCACGTTGCATTCATGGAGGGCCAATGAGTGTATGTTGGTTTTAATTAAGAATCTGTTATAGAAAAAATATATCGAATTAAATTGATCTTTAGCGTAAAAAACAGTTGTGTAAACTCTGAATTATTTCCTTTATTCCTTGAAACTGGTTGTCTTCAGGTTGGTAAATTTGATGAATCAGAGAGAAAGACTACACAACATGACACACAGGTAAGTGCAGAATTAGTTGTATGTTTGGTTCCTCTTAACACTAATACAATAAATCAAGCAGACAAGTATTTTCTAATGCAGCGCTCCCTTTTCTAGGCAATGAAATGCCTGTCTTATTTAGTGTACCCTCTGTCTATTAGTGGATCCATATTCTCTCTGGTATACCTGAGGTATAAAAGGTAAGACAATTCTGGAATTTAATTGTATTTAAAATATAAATAAATAGGTTTGAGGACATTGATCATCAACGTATCTAATATTCACATGTATTTTGACAGCTACTATTCATGGTTAATCAACAGCCTTGTCAGTGGTAAGTTTACACATACTCTATCAAGCCTCCTTGGGGGTTATGTTTTGAATATAATATCAATTGATTACACAAATACATATTTTATATAGATCTTTAACACTAGCCTGGTCAAGCAGACTGAACGCTGCACTCACTATTTGTTTCACTGTGAAGTGAAACAGAATGTGAGCTATCGAGATATCAGGCTGGTTTCACAAGGCTACTTTTTCACAGCCAATGTTTTTTATTAGCAGCTACAGATGTAGGATCTTAATTTGATCACTATTTTGTTGCTGAGAATTTTCCTACACCGTACGAAATGCAGATAAGCTTCATGATTTACATAAATTCACTGAAAACCCTCACTAACACACGGTTATATTAACATTATTGCACTTTTGATGTAGCCTACCTTTGGCCAGCTAATAGCCTAACCACCGATCAAGCAACATGGACTAAACGTTCAAATCCTGTTGCTGCAGGATTATTTTGCTGTGACAATATAGGTCAAATTAAGATCCTACATTTGTATTAGTGGGTAATATCAATATTTCCAACTGAAACTGGGCTTCCTCCTGCAGGGATTTATGCTTTTGGATTCCTCTCTATGGCTCCTCAGCTGTTCATTAACTTCAAGGTTTGTCCTACTTGAAATTTAGAGCATAATGGGCCCTGAGTAAAATGTTATATTTTGACACAATTCTTCAAATTTTCTTTCTTCTTCAGTTGAAGTCCGTGGGCCATTTGCAATGGAACGTATTGATGTATAAAGTGAGTAGCAACAGTAAACGTTTTATGGTATATATTGTTTTATAGCTGATTAACAGCTGCTTACCTAAAGTCAATCTAGGGTCATCAAGTTCTCGGTTCTTCTTCACATTGACACTGTGGATGCATCTGAAATGGCCCTCTATTCCATAGTGCACCCTGTGGACCATGGTCAAAAGTAGTGCACTATGTAGGGAATAGGATGTCGTTGGGGGTTCATTCAGAGTTAGAATAAAACACTCATGTGCCTTTCTTCTCTTCAGGCAGTCAATACATTGGTCAACGATGCCTTCGCCTGTGTCTTCAGCACACACCCATCCAACCAGCTGGGCTGCTTCAGGGATGAGATTCTGTTTCTTGTCTACCTTTACCAGAGGAGGTGGGTGGGACATGGTGGCGGCAGGTAGCCTGGAGGTTAAGAGCGTTGGGCCAGTAACCGAAAGGTCACTGGTTTGAATCTCCGAGCCGACTAGGTGAAACATCTGTCGATGTGCCCTTGAGCAAGGCACTTAACCCTAATTGGTCATGTAAGTTGCTCTGGATAAGATCGTCTGCTAAATGACTAAACAATTTTGATTTATTTAGTCCGGGTAGTCATGATTAGCTGTTCAGGAGTCTTATGGCTTGGGGGTAGAAGCTGTTAAGAAGCCTTTTGGACCTAGACTTGGCGCTCAGGTACCGCTTGCCGTGCGGTAGCAGAGAGAACAGTTTATGACTAGGGTGGCTGGAGTCTTTGACAATATGTGATCTCATTCATTTACTTATCTATCTGCCCCCCACCCCCTCTAGGCTTTACTCAACAAACAAGACCAGATGTCGTGAGTATGGATCATGCCACCACAACCACAGGAAACTCAAAGCCCAATGATGACTGAGGTTAACACCAGAAAACAGAGTTGAATGAAGGAAACATACCTGCACATGGTGGGGTTGTAAACAGCATGGGAGAATCTCTGAGGGTGCAGCGGGTTTATTATAAGCCTTTAGGAAAGTTTATCATTAGTTTTGTAAGTAGAGAATACAGCTTATTTTCTGTCAACCCTGTGTTGTTCATCATTAACCACTGATATTTCCATGTGTTATGACTGACTGTATGTAGCCTACTGAAGCATGAACCTTGGTTTATTTTTAGTGATACATATTAATACTGCATTGTTGGGTTTGGAGCTTGCAAGAAAGGCATTTCACTGTACTTGTGGACATGACATTAAAACTTGAAACAGGAAGCTACCCCTCGGCTTGCCTGCACTGCTCCATAATACCAGTATGTAGCCTACTGAAGCATAAAGCTACCCCTCGCCCTGCCTGCACTGCTCCATAATACCAGATATAACCAGTATGTAGACTACTGAAACAGGAAGCTACCCCTCGCCCTGCCTGCACTGCTCCATATTGTCCACAAGGAGGCGGTGTTGTCAGCTCCTTGCTGTACGGTTTTCTGCTTGTTCTTTCAGTCTGCTACTTTCTGTTTGAGAATAGTACATGGACAGATGGGTACTAAAAGGGGGAAATAGAAACATGTACAAAATATGGAGTAACATGAAGTACAGTGAACTCCTGATAAATTCAATGGCTTTGGACTGTAATATGTGAGAGCTAACTGGAACATGCACATATCCTGTATGTATCCATGATGTATTTGAAATGGGACTATTGAGCTACAATGCACTAATGGAGTTTTTGCACTTCTACAATGCGCACTTATCAGGAATCAACTGTACTTTTAAATAATGAAGATACTGTAAGGTCTTTAAAAAATGTAGGAAGGCTAGCGTGATGTTTTTGAATCACATTTGTCTACTAGGGTTTAGGAAATGCCTTTCCTCTTTGATTAAATTATTACAATTAAATGATTTACCTGTATCTCTGCTGCATTGTCATGACTGAACATTAAAAGCCAGCTTGTTAACCAGCATGACCCTTGGCTGGAATCTGAAGTAACTTAAGATACCAGGATGGACTTCTGTTTCCAACTAAATGAAACCTTACGACAATATTTAATAATATTAATACATGTCTTCTATAGCGCTTTTCTGAAACGCAAAGGTGATTATATTTTATTCTAGCAACAAGTTAAATTACTAGTCCTTACAGAGACAAACTTACAAACAAATTATATCTTGAGTTCAGTTTGGCTTCAGTTGGAGTGGAGTTTGTCTGATGGGTGTGATTCACAGTTCTTCATTTGAAATTTGTGTGTATGCTCAATTTCTACTGATAATAAAACAAGTAGCCCCACTGTTTCACAATGACACAGAGTAGGCTGTGAATCATCTGTTATCATGACTGCTGTATATTCCACCTCAGTACAACAAACTGTACGAGGCTATAAACAAGCAGGAAACCTTGCAACCGGAGGCTGCTTTTCTTGTTGCCGGTGACTTCAATTCTGAGTCACTAAGATACGTGATGCCCAACTTCTACCAACACGTCTCCTTCGCCACTAGGGGCGATAAAGTCCTAGATCACTGTTACTCAACCCACAAGCAAGCATACAGGGCCCTCCCTCGTCACCCCTTCAGCAAATCAGGTCACGACTCTATATTCCTGCTTCCAAACAGAAGCTCAAACAGGAAGTACCTATGATACGCTCCGTAGCTAAATGGTCCACCGAAGCAGAGGCTATGCTGCAGGACTGCTCTGCTAGCACTGACTGGAATATGTTCAGGGACTCCACCGATAGCATCTCTGAGCTAACCACCTTCATCAGAAAATGCATCACCGACATTGTCCCCACAGTGAAGGTTCGCTGCTTTCCCAATGAAAAGCCCTGGACTAACACAGAGGTACCCGCTAAGCTAAACGACAGAGTTACCACTCACAGGGCTATCACAGTTAACCCTGAGGCTACACCTGAGGACAGGAACAAGTACAAGAAGTCCCACTACGACCTCCGCATAGCCATCATACAGGCAAAAAGACAATATATGAACAAGGTGGCATCCTATTACACAGGCCTCGACGCTCAACGCATGTGGCAGTGCCTACAGTCCATTGCTGATTACAAAGGAAGACCTAGCCATGATCTGCTCAACGAGCCATGCATGAGGACCCCTGCCGTCCCAGAGGACTTGGTGATCTCGCTCTGAGGCCGACTCTAGTACGTTTTTCTTCGCAAGGCTGCGTGGCTGGACGGTATTCTAGGGCATGTTCTCACAGCATGCGCAGATCAGCAGCCAGGCATCTTCACGGTCATTTTTAACCTCTCCTTGTCCCAGTATGTAATCTGCACGTCTTAAGCTGACCAACATCATTCCTGTTCCCAAGAACTCTAAGGCTACATGCCACAATGACTACCGACCCGTAGCATTCACATCTGTAATCATGAAGTGCTTTGAAAGGCTGGTCATGGCACACATCAACTCAATCATCCCAAACACCCTAGACCCACTCCAATTTGCATACCGCCACAACAGATTTACAGACGATGCAATCTCAATTGCACTCCACACTGCCCTCTCCCACCTGGACAAGAGGAATACCTATGTGAGAATGCTGTTCATCAACTACAGCTCAGCGTTCAACACCATAGTGCCATCCAAGTTTGTTACCAAGCTCGGGACCCTGGGACTGAACAACTTCCTCTACAACTGGATCCTGGACTTTCTGACGACCGACCCCAAGTGGTGAGAGTAGAAAACAACACCTATGCCACGCTGACCCTCAACACGGGGGCCCCTCAGGGGTGTGTGATTAGCCCCCTCCTGTACAGTCGGCTGGAGATCACTCTGTCATGCTGATTGAGTTAGAATAACAGACTGGAAGCTTTAAAAGGAGGGTGGTGCTTGAAATCATTGTTCTTCCTCTGTTAACCATGGTTACCTGCAAGGAAACACATGCCGTCATCATTGCTATGCACAAAAAGGGCTTCACAGGCAAGGATATTGCTGCTAGTAAGATTGCACCTAAATCAATCATTTATCGGATTATCAAGAACTTCAAGGAGAGAGGTTCAATTGTTGTGAAGAAGGTGTCAGGGTGCCCAAGAAAGTCCAGCAAGCGCCAGGACCGTCTCCTAAAGTTGATTCAGCTGCGGGATCGGGGCACCACCTGTGCAGAGCTTGCTCAGGAATAGCAGCAGGCAGGTGTGAGTGCATCTGCACGCACAGTGAGGCGAAGACTTTTGGAGGATGGCCTGGTGTCAAGAAGGGCAGCAAAGAAGCCACTTCTCTCCAGGAAAAACATCAGGGACAGACTGATATTCTACAAAAGGTACAGGGATTGGATTGCTGAGGACTGGGGTAAAGTAATTTTCTCTGATGAATCCCCTTTCTGATTGTTTGGGGCATCCGGAAAACACCTTGTCCGGAGAAGACAAGGTGAGCGCTACCATCAGTCCTGTGTCAAGCCAACAGTAAAGCATCCTGAGACCATTCATGTGTGGGGTTGCTTCTCAGCCAAGGGAGTGGGCTCACTCACATTTTTGCCTAAGAACACAGCCATGAATAAAGAATGGCACCAACACATCCTCTGAGAGCAACTTCTCCCAACCGTCCAAGAACAGTTTGGTGACGACCAATGCCTTTTCCAGCATGATGGAGCACCTTGCCATAAGGCAAAAATAATAACTAAGTGGCTCGGGGAACAAAACATCGAAATTCTGGGTCCATGACCAGGAAACTCCCCAGACATTAATCCCATTGAGAACTTGTGGTCGATCCTCAAGAGGTGGGTGGACAAACAAAAACCCACAAACTCCAAGCATTGATTATGCAAGAATGGGCTGCCATCAGTCAGGATGTGGCCCAGAAGACCCATGGGGCGGCGCACAATTGGCCCAGCGTCGTCCAGGGTAGGGGAGGGAATGGCCGGCAGGGATGTTGGTAGAGCACGGCGTTTGCAGCGCTAGGGTTGTGGGTTCGATTCCCACGGGGGGCCAGTATGATAATGCACTCATAATGTATGCACTCACTAACTGTAAGTCGCTCTGGATAAGAGCGTCTGCTAAATGACTAAAATGTAATGTAAAATGTAAGTTAATTGGCAGCATGCCAGGGTGGATT